GCGGCGCCCCACGGGGCCCCCGGGGCGGGCGCTGAGGGAGGTGGGGGAGCTGAGGGGAGGCTGAGGCGGTCGGCGGGTGTCCGCTGCGTGGTTTTGCCCCCCAGGAGGCTTCGGATAAATGGCGGTTCCACGAGGTTTTTTTGGCATTTCGCAGCCGGGAGAAGAGCAGTGTTGTCTGTCCCGCCCTGTGTAACGCTGGCCTTTGGGTCTTTTCCTCCTGTGGTAACTTAGGGTCCTTTCCCCTCCACGTTGACTCCTCTGGGGATGCAACGTGTGCTCCCACCCTCCCAAAATGTCTTTTCCTTGTCAGTGTTTTCGAGGTGGGTCAGAAGGAATTAAAATTCGTCCTGAAGCATAGACGGGCGTCTTTGAGGCGCGGTGTCATCAGTGGTTTTGGCTGACCCCAAAAGCCACCGTGCCCCGCGGCCTGTCCCTCCTGTCCAGCAGGCCGCGGGCAGCCTGGCTGGGCTTGAAGTGAGGCCGGGGTGGGCAAAATAAGTTTATTCTGTTTCCCCCCCCCTTCTTGAATCCGCACCCTAGGTGGGTGCTGAGGCGCTTTGTTTTTTAGTTGCATTAAATTTTTAAAACCTGTGTTTTCCTAGTTGTGGTGAATGAACCCTCCAGAGACATGCCTCAAGAAAATGCTTGTGACAATCTATAGAGAAATGATAGAGAGATCTCTCTCTTTTTTCTTTTTTTTTAACCCCACGAGATATTTGAGACCACATGAAAGCAGTTCCCTATCAGATGTGACATGAGAAACAGAAATGTTGATTCAGCAAGCTCTTGTCTCACACATCTACCTCCTAGGACATAAGTAACAACTATTTCAATCACATTAACTTCAAAGCCGTGATTCTAATCCTTAAATATTTGGCTATATCAGGGCCTGACTTCCTTTGGAGCAGCGGCCTTGAACCTTCAAACGTATTTGACTTAACTTGCATGTTTTATAGGACTGACTTTATGTTAGGTTTAGCTTTGGATATGGAAATCTGAACACCTGGATTTATTTTACAGTCAGTAGACTTTACCAGTTGTAAAGCGTCCCACTGATACTGGAATGCTGTCAGTGATAAAATTAGATATATGTATGTATGTTTGGGATTAAGGCTTTAGCAAGTGCATATATCTTCTAGCTTGTGAGATAAGATAGCTCTATAGTTGTGACCTTTTTCACTCTTTATACATACAGGTTTTGGGAATAGGATTCCTAGTTGCTATGGTAATATAAATAATTAATCTGTATATTTGTAGTTAGATTATACACGGAAATAAAAATGTTTGCTGGGTAATTTGTATCTGATATTTTGCCTTCACTTAATGAATAAATCAGTTGTACAAGTTTTTTCTTCTTTTACTATGACCTGGGCCGTCACAGTTTGGTCCCCTTTGAGCAGAGGTTGCTGGAGCTGGCTGCTGCTGATCGGGCTGAGTTTATCGAGGCAGAAAGTGCAGAGTCCACTCTCCTGGCTGCACAGACACTAGAATAAAGTTTCTCTGATCACGGCACTTACATCCCTTACTTTGCTTTTTTGCTTGCAGTGTCTACATTCCCTTCTCTCCAGTCTTCGCTTTTCAGCACAGAAAGCAGATTAATTAAAATACAAAGATTTATATGCAAATCAAAAGACAGGAATGAAAAGTTGTGGCTCTTCCGTGAACTGTGAAAACTGCTGTGTTGAGCTGACCTTTGTATAGTCTCCCTTTCCTCTGTCCTGTGCTGATCCTTCATGACCTGATTCTGCAAATACAGTGTTACTGGTATGAATGGTCTTGTATTCAGGCGGAATGGTTCATGTTAGGGAAGTTAACTGTGTGCCCAGGTCTCCCCTGAATCATCTGTATTGTAGACAAAAATGTAACTTGTAGATACACAAGCTGGTTTTAAGTAAGGAGTAGAAGCAGTAAACCTGTATGTCCAATTTAAACAACCAGCTTTGTCCTTTTGTTTCTTTTTAAAAGCTACTAGTGTAAAAATACTTGTTTGGTGTGAAAAATGCAATGACACTATGTTTTGTCTTGGGATTTGTAGGTGCTGCTTCTGCTTGAATAACAACAACAACAGTATGGAATGAATTAAAACACTGGGGGCTGCTTATTTTGAAACTAAGGCATTCCGAGAACTAGTGTGCGCTTTGGATATTATGCTGTATCTGTCTCAACCTCCCTGCTGATTTCTGTTCCTTTAGAATCATTTTTATATTTAAAAAAACACACAATCCTGTTGCTATGGAAGAGAAAATAGTGTTAGGTTTCGTATAAAAGATGATAATGAAAGTGATCATGAGGCCTAAAGCAAACAAACAAAAATGTAGATACTCTCCCTCCTTCTAATTGCTTTCCATTACAGTCACTTTAACTGAGGCTTTTAACAAATTTGAAAGAAAACCCCTGGATGTAGGCAAGATACTTTTTAACTTCATGACATTTTTAGGACTCTTTGATGCAGCAGCTCTTAGACTGAAGTTGTTGTTGTGTCATCTGAGTACATTTGTACGTGCCTGGTGTTTTAAGCTAAATAAGGCCATTCAGAAAGGATGGTGTACTGGTGTTTTTTCATTTTATTTCCATCAGAGGTGAAAAGCAGGTGAACTTGTCACTTATAGTCTGTCTGTAGCTGTGTTAACAGAAATAAGTCACTCCAGAGTACCATTCGACAGACCTTTTTGCTGTCATAGCTGCAGTCACAACTTTTGAGTGACTTCACATCTTGGGAGCGTTTCCAGCATTTCTAAAAACCCCAGATCCAGCTGATTTTACTGGTGGGTGTCCTTTGAGTCAGTATTTTGGCTGTCACCGAAGGAGACAACACTGCAGATAATGACTGTTACTTACAGGTCTGACAGACTGCTGTGTGAAAGCCGGGTACCTAAGTATTTATACACAAGCACTATTGATTCTGTGTTTACAGCCCAACAACATGTACCTGAGAACAAAATTTTGTCTTAGTGTAAAGTCAAGTCCTTCGCTGGCAGAAAATGAGAACAGAATCGGAGCAAACAGAATGGCATTTAAGTACCTAGTATAAAATCTTGGCAAAGGTAGAGCTGTTGTTAAAGCCCAAATGTTTTAAACATGGGTTGCAAAGAGGATTGGGTGCAAAATTGGGCCTGTGTCCCTGTTTGTTGCTATTGGATTTATACAGAACTCTCAAAATACTCTCTTTAAAAAGTTTTATGTTCAGTTTTGCATTGGAGATTCAGAGGTTGCCTTCTTGGGAAAACTCAAGTTTCAAAAGGACTGGTCAAGTTTTGACATGATAAGAGGAGTCTTTTGAAACTTTGTTTGAAACTAGATTGTTTAAACCTCTTTAAAGTGTACTTTAAGTTTGTATACCTCATTTATCCTTAGATGAAGGGCACCTGTGTTAATGAATCTAAACTTCCTAAAGAAAAAGGCAAAAATTCCAAAAGACATCTCTGCAATCCACAGGAAGTCCAGAGAAGATGGGACTTGACATTCCCCATACAGCTAAGGTTAAAAAAAAAAAAAAAAAAAAGCAGAAAAAATGTTTAATGAAAAGAAAATTGGTTAATTTTAAACAGTCCCTTCTGATTTCACTGAAAAACAGTCACTCACCCATAGGAAGGACACGCTTGGAGATATGTTCAGAGAGTATTTGATGCTCTGGATAATAAACTTTCTGATTCTGGCAGAGTGTGGTTCCAGCGACAGCAGTAGTGAGCGTGCTGTGGCTTGGCACGGGAGTAACTTTGGGGAGAGGATCTCTGAGCAGTTTTGCTTTAAAGCCTATTGAAACAGACTGTTTATTCGGTTCAACGAACCATTCTCTTGTGCCCCAACTGCAGCTGCTTGGTCTTACACTTGATGTATGAGCACTATAATACGATCCTGGCATTCCTCTTGCAAAAATGTCATGAATAATTCCTTGGGTGGGAATCCAGCGGGAAGGTGATGCCACAGTTCAGTGGATCTGAAGGAGGAGAAGAAAATGCATTGAGTAAACTGCAGCAGCAGCTCCCTTGTTGCGGTTTTCCTCCAAGAGGAGCCATGGGTGCTTCTGACTGTTGGCAGCTCTCAGGGGTTAACACTGTGATTCTTTGTCTACTTTATCTGGTTATGAAAGGGCAGGTGGTTTTGTTTCCAGTGGGATTTTTTGTGGGAAAACTGAGATACTTTAGACAGTGTACCCTTTCTGCTATTTGGCAACAAGACTGTCAGTCAGACAGTCAAGACCAGAAGGCAGCTCAAAGAGATGATGCACTCCTTTAACTTGGTCAGTCCTGATAGGTTTTTGTCTAATTTTCCTCAGGGACCTCCACAGATGGAAACTGCATGGTTTGCCCAGCAGTCGCTCCAGCAACTTCTCTTTGTATTTCAGACTTTAATCTAGTTCCCTGGTTGGCTCTTAACAAACCTTACATTGTCCCTGCGCTCCAGCAAGCTCCTTCTTCTTTTCGTGGCCTTTCAGCTATTGTCTCTGCCATTCCTGGGGATGTCCTAAGACAAAGGAGAGGTGGATAGGGCTTGGCATGAATTGTAGTGAACAGACCTTTGCTTCAAAACAAGCCATGATGAGAGCTCATGGGATCTGAAGTCCTGTTCTGAATGAATCCCCAACTTCTGTTCCCGGAAATGCTATGTTCCTGGCATTTTGTCTGCAGTGGCAGATGCTTTGGGATAGATTATAGGAAGCAGGCCACTTCCAAATTTGTATTGTTGCAGAGTAGGAACAGCCTTGGAGTCAGGTCTGTCTGATGTCCCGTTGAAATGGGAGTCTTTGCACTGACTTTTCTTGAGCTTTGAACTGGATCCTTGGAAAGGGTCATTTAAAAGTCTTTGTACCAATGCCTGAACTTTGCATGTATTTTCTTCCCTAGGCAAATTCAGAATACGCACACGGGGCTGGATTTGTCAGTGCCGGAATACCAGGAAATCCGTGGGAAGATGATGTCTGGCCACGTAGAGTATCACATTGTCGTTGTTACCCGACTGGCTGCCTTCAAATCAGCAAAGCACAAGCCTGAAGATGTAGTTCAATTTATGGTAAAGTTTAATCAGTGCTGTGTTAGTGATTGCTTTCTTAATCAGCTTTGATTATTTTGGTCCTGATGGAGCAGATACTTTGTCGTCACAGCCTCTCTGGGTCAAGGTCCTTGGTAGGATGACACAGTCTGTACCATTTCTGCAATAGAAGTATTATACATAAATTAATTGAACTTTTTATTCCAGGAGCTCAAAGCAACAATGACCGTTTGTTGTTGCCTTTAAGGCATTTTGCATTATGGGTCAACAAATAGAAACCAGTTAAGATTTTTATAAGTCCTGCTGCAAAATTAGTTTCTCTGATATATGTATCTGCACTGGGACTTGGTATATAAACATGAAATAAATATGTAATACTTTTCTTGAATGGAGAAGCAATCATGTGGGACAATAATAGGAATTAACATTGCAGTAGGTTAGCCTTGACCTGTTAGCCTTGATCTATTATCCTTGACATGGTTTTTAAAATCCTTAGTAAGAGAGTTTTAGAAGGAAGTGTCTGTATAAAACATTATTGAGTTGGATTGGTTGCTTTCCTGATACCTGCAGAGTAAAGTTTTGAAAATAGCACAAGATTCATGTCACCTGTTTCAAGTCATCTGTAGCATGTGCACGTCCACTTGAGCTGTCTCACCTGGGACTATCTATTGAGTTGATGGAAAAGGGGGCATTTATGGTACATCTAATTTGATATGCTTTAGCTCTGTGCTGAACCACTCCCAAGAAGTGCGTTTCTCTGTCTGTTGACTATAAAGGGACTCTGAGGGGAAGCACCCTGTTGCATGCTGTGAACACTTTCAGATGTTTGGGGGATAACTGTAGTGTCAGTAATGTGAGTGCGTGCTTGCCTGGTAGACCATTAGCTGTAGTGTAAATCACACTCCATAGAAGATAGCTGATAAACGGATATTTACACAGTCTGATTTGCAGATAAAGACCCATCTGTCAATGTTGTGAAGAGGTGCCTGGTGAGGAGATCTTATACATTTATTGCACTCCTTATGCTGTATATAACTTAATGGTAAAAGCAGCAACGGTGGCATAAGAGTCTGTTCTGTTCTCCCTCCTTGTCCCTGACTGCTTGTTGTTGGTCCTGCAGTGTTTCCTTCTGTGTATCAGTGTCATGTGGCTGTTCTGTAACATCAGCTGAGGAAGGTCCTGGCTGAAAATGGGTATTTGAGTGTTTGTTATTTAGTACTAATTTACACTTGTTTCTTGAGCCTCTGAGTTGCGCAGCCCCATTAAAGTTTGTTTTCGGACAGGGGAATCATAGAATCGTTATGGCTGGAAAAGACCTTTACAATCATCAAGTCCAACCGTTATCTAACTCTACCAGGCCCACTTCTAAACCACGTCCTTGAGCACCATATCTGGATGGCCTTTAAATACATCTAAGGATGGTGATTCAACTACTTCCCTGGTCAGCCTGTTCCAATCTTTGATAACCCTTTCAGTGTGGAAGTTTTTCCTAATGTCTAACCTAAACCTCCCCCGGCACAACTTGATACTATTTTCTCTTGTCCTCACCATTGTAACTTGTGAGAAGAGACCAATGCCCACCTCTCTACAACCTCCTTTCAGGTAGTTGTAGAGAGCAATAACGTCTCCCCTCAGCCTCCTTTTCTCCAGGCTAAACAACCCCAAGTCCCTCAGCCGCTCCTCATAAGACTTATTCTCAAGACCCTTCACCAGCTTCGTTGTCCGGACCCTCTCCAGCACCTCAATGGCCTTCTTATACTGTGGCACCCAAAGCTGAACACAGTACTCAAGGCGCGGTCTCACCAGTGCCGAGTACAGTGGGACAATCACTTCTCTGGCCCTGCTGGCTACACTATCCCTGATGCAGGCCAGGATGCTGTTGGCCTTCTTGGCCACCTGGGCGCACTGCTGGCTCACATTCAGCCGGCTGTTGACCAACACCCCCAGGTCCTTTTCCCCCAGGCAGCTTTACAGCCACTCCTCCCCAAGCCTGTAGCATTGCATGAGGTTGTTGTGACCCAAGTGCAGGACTTGGCACTTGGCCTTGTTGAAGCTCATACTATTGGCCTCAGCCCATCGATCCAACCTACCGAGGTCCCTCTGAAGAGCCCTCCTACCCTCAAGCAGATCAATACTCCCACCTAACTTGGTGTCATCTGCAAACTTACTGAGGGTGCTCTCAATATCCTTGTCGAGATCATTAATAAAGATATTAAACAGGAGTGGCCCCAACACTGAGCCCTGTGGAACACCACTTGTGACTGGCTGCCAACTGGATTTAACTCCATTCGCCACCACTCTCTGGGCCCAGCCATCCAGCCAATGTTTGATCCAGCAGAGTGTACGCCTGTCCAAGCCTTGGGTAACCAGTTTCTCTACGAGAATGCTGTGGGGAACAGAATCGAAGGCTTTACTGAAATCCTGGTAAATAACATCCACAGCCTTTCCTTTGTCTACCAAGCGGGTCATGTTGTCATAGAAGGAGATCAGGTTTGTTAAGCAGAACCTGCCCTTCATGAACCTGCGTTGACTGGGCCTGATCATCTGATTGTCCTCTACATAGTATGTAATGGCACTCGAGATGATCGGCTCCATAAGCTTCTCTGGCACTGAGGTCAGACTGACAGGTCTGTAGTTCCCCGGATCCTTTTTCTGGCCCTCCTTGTAGATGGGAAGGGCCAGACATGGGCAGATAAGAGAAGGGGATGTGAAATCACTTTTTTTCTGCATCAATGCCTGCTTATATTATGTAATATTTCCATGCAGCTCTGTGCAAGAAAGGACCTGACTAAACCCAAGGTGTTAAATTGGGCTGTTGTCATCTAACATTTTGCTTCACTTAAGAAAAAGTGATAAAATCAGCTTGTGTATAAAGAGGAGAAACAGACTTCTTACTGTGTACCCCCTGCTTGCTGAGATTGTCTGTTCCCATGTCTGCTCTCTCTAGGAGGATTTTCAGCACTTAGTTGCTCTTCTCAAGTGAAATGAACCTTTCTGATTTCTTTCCTGGTCAGACCTCCTGACATTTCGTTCTTCATGAAGAAGAAAACTGGTGTAGTCTGACGGGAATAACATTTATCTCATCAGATACATTTTTTTTCAGCTGACTAAGTCTGATATATTATATAGTTTGATGTGTGAGAGTAATTTAAAACCATGAGCTGAGAGGTTGGAGGATGGATGCTTTGCATCGATTCATTCCAATGAGTCCTTTCTGTATGTGTTACTGGAAGGAGCAGAGGGATTCACCTGTCGTAACTTATCTCTCTGCAAATTGGATATTTTAATCTGAGTCTGTCCCTGCTTTTATGGTCAATAGGGAGAAGGGGAATGAGATGACTCATCCTCTGGAAATACCTCTCTTCTTTGACCGTAAAGGGAAAGCATTCTACATTTTAGACAGCTGGGGTGGGGGGCTTCAGCTCCAGGCTAAAATGTTTAAGGCTCGGTTGAGTTGCACACAACTCAGTCTATACCAGCAGAGGTGCCCTGGGATTTTCCACCTAGCCTTCAGAAGGTGCTGGGTCTCTCATAGGTCCTGTGTGATATTTGTCTGCCCCACACAAGCCCTTTGGATACCCCAAAGCATCTCAGATGGCATGAGATGCCTGTCTTGAAGCAGAACAATCTGCTCTCTATGATTAGATGTCTGCATTTGCTGCAGATTTCTAAGCTCCCATCCCAGTCAGTGCAGTACTGTTGAGAAGAATGTAGCTGAGCATCTATAGCATGGGGGAATCCACTTTGCTTAAGGTACATGGCTGGTACCATTTGAGAAACCCTAAGTTATCCTAGATGTCTGCATAGGGCTGGCAGATGTGACACAGGACATCAAGGCATTGGGACCATCCCGGAACAGAGCAAGGTGAGATACTGTATGCCATCTGAGGTACCACTAGCTGCCTGTGTTCAAGTAAGTTGAGTTTCAGTCACGTCTTGCCAAAATGTAGTGACTGTACCTGGCTGTCATGAGAGCTGAGACACCTCCTGAGGCACTTTTCTTAACCTGGAGGCAAATCCCAACTGTGTGGCTGCCAGATGAGGTGAGTTGCACCCGTAGTGTCTGTGTAGTGCCCTGTTCTGCTGGATGTTGTACCAGCACAAACAAGAACTGTGAGCCTCCCCCAGAGAGTTTGCAGGTGAAGTGTGAGAGGACCAGGCCACTAGAGAACAGCAGAGAATTAGGTTACATTGGACAGCAGGTCACACACATCAAATTTGTATAGCAGGGGGGAGTGAGATGAGATATCTGAAGGAGGAAGAAGAAACACCTGTGTGCCTTTTCTGCCTTCCCAAGTATGCGAGTAGGATGGGAGAGGGGAACTTATATTTGCTATTGTTGAAATTATAAAATCTGAGAGGCTGGAGGAAGGTGCCAGTGTCACAGTGCTGAGATGACAGGTAGGTTAGAGAAGACGGGTAGGCACGGTAGGGTTTTCTTTGGCTCTGGATATGTTAATCCAGTTTTGGCTACCTCAGGAGCCAGGTCTGTGTTTGGAGACCCTTTGTCTTTCCTTTTTCCTCCTCCTCCTCTTTCTCTCCCTGAAATATTACCGAAATAAACTATTAGCTGTTATTCCACCTGCTTCCAGTTGAAGTTGCTGCCCTCCACACTCTTGTGCCCTAGGTGGCAGCAGCGAAACTGGCTTTCTGTGCTATGAGCAGCTGCAGAGAACAATGTGATTGAGTTCAAATGGCTTCTCTGTATCCCCTGGAAAAAGATGGTGAGGAGGACAGAAGCATCCTCTAAACTAGTTGTGATCTCTGGGCTGAGATTTAAAGCACACTGGATTGAGATATGTTAAGGGCCTCTGACCAAAACCAGATGAACATCAAAAAGAGATTTCAGATCTGACCTGTGGAGTTACTAGCCTTTACTGTGGGTCTAAACAATCCAGAGGTCCCTGTTCTCCAGCCTTAATGGGACTATGCAAAATCAGTATCACAGCCTTTCTAACGGAAATGTTTGTGAAGCATTACCAGAAGGAGAAATTAGCTTCTGTGATGACTTTCAGATCTAA